ATGTACTGTTTCCAATTAAGTCTACACTTGAACTTATTATGTGGAAGTGTTAATTACTCTTGTACTTTGAGGCCAAATTAAGTACAAATTGGCATGTTCTTTGTGGGATTTTGCTAGCTTTTCTATCTTAAAAGGAGATACCACAACTTAAAGCAAAACCAATGGATGATAATTAGTTTCAAAGAATTCATTTTGTGGACTAGAAACCATGAACTTAAAAGTACTTTCTAATTAATCCAGCTACCATTTTGTTGGTTTATACTAAAATGTCAATGCAATTACTTCATCTTTAGTAAAGTAGAGTGATTTTAATGCCATGTCTTCTTCCAAAAGGAATGTATTTGGACAACAAATATAGCCCCATGCATTCAAGGCCTATAAAGAAAATCGATGAATCACATCAAATTAAAATATTCATTATGTTCGAGCTTGATTTTAAACTTTTGAAGCTCGTCTAACTCTGAAGTTCGTGTGAAGCTTAAGAAGAGCCTTCACATGATCAGGATGAGGATAAGATTCAATTGAGAATCCACGACTCACGTACATATCCATTTTTCATGTAACGATCGAAAAGATGAGTTTGTTCGAGTTCTACGAAAGTTACTTTGTACGTAAGGTTTTGATTATAAATACTCTTCATTTACTCATTCACTAGCAATGCACTATTAACTATTTCGATTGTTCATTATATTATTTAATATCAATAACATCAAGCTTGTTCTTATGATCAATTATTTGATTTTGTTTAATTTCTTACTTATTATTAGCCATATTTACATAAATTAAAACAAGTTAAACTATCTTAATCACATATTTTTTTATTGTTTCAGCCCTCACATATGAAAGTGCAAGAGGGGGATGAATTGTTGTTTTTTTTTCTTTGATGAAGAGTAGTTGACGTAAGATATACTTTAGTCGACTACAGTTTAACATAGCAAAAATGAATTATGCAGTAAATGCAAAAAGTAAACTTGACACCAACGTTTTATATTGGATCTGATCCAAGATTGATCTTACGTCCATTCCTCTAGGGTTGCGAGGGTGTTCTCTTCAGGTTTTTGAAACTTCTTGAAACAAGTACAAGGTTTGTGTGTTGTTCTAAAAAAGACACTCAATCTTAATTTCTTACAGAAGATCTAGGTTTTCTGGCTTTTGATACCAATATTGATTGTATTAAAGTATTAACCTAATAAGGGAATACATGGGAGATATAGGAAGGAGTACTAATCCTAATAGGATTAGGATTAAGGAGTACTAATCCTAATAGGACTAGGATTAGTACACAGTAAATACAAATATTGTTCTATACTATTTATTTAATACTATCTGTCATTACCATCTTTCCTCTAACAATATGTTGTCTTTTTATAGAGTTGAGACTTGAATCTTATCCTTGTGAAGAGATTTGATCCTTGGAAAAAAGACAATGTATCCTTCTTTTCCAAGAATAAAGATTAAGGCTTATCAATCTTAATTTCTTACAGATGGTCGTTGTTATCTTTTCCTTAGGTAGCCGTTGGAGAATTCTCTCTTTCTTATTTGATTCATTCTTGTAAATTCTTTGATTGAATATAGCCATTGGAGATCTTCCTTGATTGACCGTTGTTTTGTGAGAGTTCGGAGCCTAAAGGGTAAAATAACTTGACAAAAATTTCAAAAGGGTAATATCAAAAAAAAATTTAATCAAAACGGTAAAATCGCTACTGGCGATTTATTTTGACTACGTTAAAGAAAAATCGCTGCTCAAGCAGCGCTATTGCATAATTTTTATTTTTATTTTGAAATCGCTGCCTTGTCAGAGATTTTTGTTATTGTTTTTTTTTTGAGTTTCTTTTTTTAACAGATCGCTGTGATTTTAGTGAAATTTTAATTTTTTATTTGTGTATTTCAAATCGCTGCATTTGAAGCGATTTTAGTGAAATTTATTTTTTTAAAATTATGAATTGATAATCGCTATTTTTGTTTTTGGATTTTTTAAAAAAAATTAAAACTTAATTTTTTTTATTATTTTATTTTATAAATATTTACAATTGATAATTTTAAAAAAAATCACTAAAATTGCATTTGCAGCGATTTAAAATACGCAATTAAATAAAATTAAAAATTTTATATAATAAAATTAAAAACTAATTTTATGATATAAAATTAGAAAAAAGAAGTTTTAATTTAAAGAAAAAAACTAAAAATTTGTATAAAAAAAACAAACTAAAAGTCGCTGCATTTGTAGCGATTATACAACACATTTTTTTTAAAAAAAACTAAAATCGTTGCTTTTGCAGTGATATACTTAAAAAATAATAATAAATAAATAAAATCACAAAAATAATAATAAGTAAATAAAATTGCTGCAAATACATCGATTCAAAATACACAAATAAAAAATTAAAATTTCACTAAAATCACTGCCTTGGCAGCATTTTTTAAAAAAAGAAAAACTTAAAAACAATAAAAAAATCGTTGTCAAGGTAGCGATTTCAAAATAAAAAAAATTATGTAATATCGTTGTTCGAGCAACGATTTTGCTTTAACAGCGTCAAAATAAATCGATACGTCGGTAGCAATTTTATCGTTTTGATTAAAAAAAAATTTGATATACCCTTTTGAAATTTTTGTCAACTTCTTTGTCCTTTAGGCTCTAAACTCGTTTTGTGATCTTGCAATCTTCTTTGATTGATGATTTGTGATCTTGAAATCTTCCTGGATTTATGTGTTCCAAATTTTGGTCTCTTAATTTATGATTCTCTAATTTCTATATAATTTTTCATCTTGTTGTGAGGATCTTTTCTTTCCTTTTTGATGAGTTGAAATATCATGCAAACGTTAAGTTAATTATCATCTTAACTTTACACTAACAACATATATTAATTATGTTGTTCTTTTTTAAGGATAAACAACTATTTAGATATAAAAGATAAGAGGGTCAAATTTTATTTAGTTTTAACACAATTATAGCATAAGATACATTTTGGTACATTTCCAATTTTAAATTACAATTATCGTTATTGACTTGTCGATTGTTTACATTTAAACATGAGTCAACAAATTTTGTCAAAGAAAAATGCTATTTTAATTTGTCTATGTTTGTTTACACGTATTTTCATTCATGTGACTTTCACATTTTAGAGAAGCAAATTTTGCTGCATATAATCTTTGCTATGTGACTTCTTTTGTTTCAAAAAAAAAATCATCAAAAACTATACCAATTGAGAAAGTTTTAAAATACGACCATATATATATTTTGTGTCATACAAGCATATTAGGCATTTTATGTAAATATCTATTAGAGAGAGTATATTTTCTTGAACACTTTGATTATATAATGATATTGCAACACGTTTCCTCACGCACATGCCTGATTTTGTTTCATGGGTCAAGTATATGAAAATTCTTTCTTTTATTATTTAATGATACACGTCTCTCATATGGGTCAAATACGTAGAAATTCTTTTTAATTTTAAATGACGATAAAATTAGATCTCAGGACCTCTATTTACTCTAATACCATGTTGAAGTGCGTGATCATTTCATCTAAAAGTTTAAGTTGTTAGAAAACATCTATTTTTATTATTTAATGATACAAGTTACTTAAAAAATTATATCTATGTAACTTCTTAAGAATCAATTTAGACGGGATTAAATATCCTTCAACTATACTCCAAACATAAACTGCATCCTTAAAATATCATTTTTAGCAGAAAAAATTATTTAACTATACCCCGAACTTAAACTACATCTTTAAAGTATTATTTTTAGCAGAAAACATCCTTAAGTATTTGTAAGTGAACAACTTTCATCCTTTAAGTATTTGGAATGTGTAGTTGGAATTTCAGGTATACTTTTCGTATAGTTTTAAAATATATAAAATTTTTATTTAGAATATCGAATTAATATTAACTAATTTAACTTTAAAAAAAATCATTCAACTTTTGAAAAACACAATATAACAAATAAAAATGAACAAAAAAACTTACCTGCATTGACTGTTTACCAATCTAATTCAATTTCCATTATTATGTAATTTAATGAAGTAAAACACATGTTAATTAGTTAAAATGAAATAAAATAACTAAAATGAAATAAACTATAAATTTAAAGACATGCACTTAATGAATTGACGTAAACATGATGCGGATAAGATTTTACCAAAATGGACAGAGAAATAGTTATTAGCAAAGAATTATTTTCCCTTTATTAAAAACATGTTTAGACGACCTTGTTTATAATCTAGGGAAAAGGGTCTGATATACCCCTCAACTTTGTCATTTGGAGCTGATATACCCCTCGTTATAAAAGTGGCTCATATATGCCCTTACGTTATACAAACGGCTCATATATACCCGTGCGCTTACAAAATGACTCACATATACCGTTCATTTAACGGAAGTTAAAAAATTAGTTTTAAAGTTATATTTATTACTTTTAATTTTTTTAAAAAAATTATTTCGGGGTATATATGATTCTTCTATAAAAGTTCAAGGTATATTTTAATTTTTTCATACATAAATTATTTTTTGATTTCTTTTATTATAATTATTCGAATTTATTATTCTTGTTTTGTTTTTTTCTTTCATTCCTTAGTTTAAAGACTAAAAAATTAAACTATTTTTTGTGTATTGTAATTTAATTTCGTATTCGAAGAAAAAATTTGGCCATCTACAATAAGTTTTACAAGAATATTAGTGAAACATAAATAAATTTGATTATCAAAATAATAATTATAAATTAGTCATTGAAATAAAAAAATAAAAAGAATATGTTTGACAAGGATTAAATTTACTAATATAGAATTATATTTTTTAGAAAAAAATAATAAAAATTTAGATTAAAATTATTGTTTTTTTTATTTCCGTTAGAGAAAAAGGGTATATATGAGCCATTTTTTTTACAAGTAGGGGTATATATGAGTCACTTTTATAACGAGTGATATATCAGCTCCAAATGACAAAGTTGAGCAGACTTTTTCGGTATAATCTATAATAAGGGCATATAATTAGTAGTAAAAATGAAAAATTAAATATGTTTTTTAATTATACATAAATTCGTCACAAACCCAAATTAGAATTTTCCCAAAAATATGAAAACACAATAGCAACCCAGAAAACTAAGAAGAAGAAAAAAAATGAACAAGGAAGATGAGCACCTCTGTTGAGGGCATTATATTATTTCTATGGCAAATGTCATGGTCATCGTTTTGTGTTTAATATTTTCGATTGTTGCAGTTGCTATTGCGAATCCTCGAACAGAGCTTGTATATAAATTCTGCGGTGTGGAGCAAGCTGATAATGTTTCACAATTCAACCAAAATTATGCGAATGCAATTGTAGCTATGGAACCCGAGATGAAATCCAACAAATTCTCAATTCACGGAGAAGGATTAGCTCCGAATCGAATTTTCGTTTTGGCTCAATGTATGGATGATCTATCTGAAGAAGATTGTCAGATTTGTTTTTCTGCAATCAAAACCCAATTGCCTGGTTGTTTTCCCCATATCAGCGGTCGAGTTTTCTTCGATGGCTGTTTCATGAGATTCGAGAATTATAGCTTTTTTTATGAATCCTCTTCTCCCCATGACGTTAAAGTAATTTCTCTTTACATTTTATATTATATTTGGGGATTATTTATGTTAAAAATTAACAAGAATTGTCATACCCCATGTTGCTCGGATTCTTTAAAATTGTTGCTACATCCGTGCTGAATTTTCCAAAACGTAGGAGTGTCACATGCACCGTCAACATTTTTAAAGACTCGAAGCAACATAGGCAGCTTCCCCTAACTTAAATGTGATTTCCCGAGGAAGGGGATAATTGAACCGAATTGGCACCATGTAGCCCCCTACTAAATTAGAAATGTGTTACCATCTCATCTGGATAGGGCATAGAGTTTTAGTTAGTTAATTACTATATATTTAACATGATCCCTAACATGATGGCCTAATTCTTTTTTTCATGAGCGAAGGACGTGGAAATTCTTTTAGAGAATGGATGACGGTGTGTGTGTCTGTTTGATACCATACATGTTGAAGTGTGTGATCCATCATCTAAAAATTAAGCTATTAGGGAAGGTTGACTTTATTTAAGTAATTATTACCTTCGATTCCATTTGTTTGTCCTGTTTTGATTTGATGGGAGGATAAGAAAATTAAGAAGATGTTTTGAATCTTGTCAAATATCCTAAAAGTTGTTGGAAAGGGAAAGAATCTTTCTTTTCGAAATGGAGTAAAAAGGAAAGTAGGTCAAACAAATTAAAACGGAGTAAGTATATGTTTAACAAATTTGACAATGGCTAGCTTGTTTTTGGTCCTCATGGTTATCTTTTTTGGTTAAATTTGAATAAAGAGATGCAGTGATGCAGTGAACTTGAAGAATGATCAATTTAGGGATGTCGCTACCAAAGTCGTCAAGGATGTGGTAACCATGGCCCCAGTTCACGGTGGCTATGCAGAAGGACGAAGGAAAACATATGGTTTATCAGTTTATGGCATGGCTATCTGCTGGAATACTTTGGACGAAAAAGCATGTTCTGATTGCCTTACAAATGCAAGCACAGCTGTTCTTGATTGTTTGCCATCCATTGAGGCACGATCCCTTAGCGTTGGCTGCTATTTTCGTTACTCAGAATTTGATCTACCAATGGTTCGAATTTCTTTAATTCTAAAGGTCAGCTCTACATCTCATGCCTGCTCTTGAGAAGTTTTTTTCATGGGACTTTAGTTATCCGTGTATAATATCTCAAGACAATACGCGTATTTTATCTTGTTTTAGCATGTTACGTATTATTTCTCCAGGTTACTATATTAGACCCGCTTTTTAACTAGTTAACACTAGTTATCTGTTTGTTGTAAGTTAACCAAATAGTGTAAATAAGCGAAACTCACTTAAGAAGGACTTGATTTTGCAGGAGCTATTTTCATGTACCTTGTATTTATTCTTGTTGCTGTTGGTGTATGCATAATAGCTGTTTTGGTTGGATATATAGTGGGTACAACTCTCCATGAAAAAACAGTGAAACACCAGACGAAACATAATGGTGATTCTTCGGATCTTGAGTCATCTGTTATGAAAAGGAGCCTGCATTTCAAATATTCAACACTAGAGAAATCCACAGACAACTTCAGTGAAGAACGCAAGATTGGCCAAGGTGGATTCGGTGAAGTCTTTAAAGTATAAAAGCATACTACTTCCTTTTCTTTTCTTTTCGTTTCGTTTTTCTCACCCCTGTTTGTTGCTTCTCTGATTTGACAATGTTAGTTCTGCTAACTAATTATAGAATATTTCTGAAGTAGGGGACTTTGCCAGATGGTAGAGAAATTGCTATCAAACGGATGTTTTTAACTACCGAAATTCGGAATGAAGAGATATCCAATGAGATAGACATTATTGGACAAGCCCAGCACCAGCATTTGGTTCGTTTTCTTGGCTGTTGTTTCACTGCCGATGACAGCTTTCTTGTATACGAGTATCTGGAAAATAAAAGCCTTGATCTTATCTTATTTGGTATGTATTTTATTCTTAACATATTAAATCTCCTCCTTCCCCGAAAAGGATAGAAAAAATGCTAGTCATTTGTAACTAAAAAATACTATCCTACTTAGTTGATATTTTTTGACTGTATGCATGGAAGAAAGATCCAAAGAAGAAGAAAGAATTGGATTGGAAGAAAAGGCTCAAAATAGTTGAAGGGACAGCTGAAGGCTTAGAATACCTTCACAATGATTGCCAAGTTCGAATCATTCACAGAGACATCAAACCTAGTAACATCTTACTAGACTCGAAATATCGTCCCAAAATTGCAGATTTTGGTCTTGCCAGGTTAGTGCATTTACTTTAGGTCCATTACCTTCAAAAAGTCGAGCCTTCTTAGTCGTGTTCAAGATTTATGTCACCAGGAAATATAGAGAACTACAAGTGTCTATTTTCATTTTCATTTTCATATATATCTTACTTCGACTTGCTTGGAATCGAGATGTAATTGTTATTTGTTATGTTATTGGTCTTCCAGGGTTAATATCAGGGAAAAAGGAAGTGCACCTCTTGTCATTGCAGGCACATTGTATGTAATGAAGCACTTTAAATTTAGATTAACCTTTTACGACTCTTCATTTTGTCGCTAATCCCTATACCTGCAGCGGATACATGGCTCCAGAGTACCTTGCTCAAGGACAATTATCAGACAAAGTGGATGTTTATAGCTTTGGAGTTCTTATCCTGGAAATAGTAAGCGGACAGGAGTTCAACAAAGTTCCAGCCGATGACACTCTAGACACCCTAGTAACCATTGTAATTTCCCATCAGCACTTAGTTTTTTCGCCTTTACTTCTAGACATAGTCACACAATCAGGTCATCTTCTATTTCTATTTTTTCGACAGAATTATGTGTTTGACATTCTCTTATTAATTTAACATACAGGCTTGGAAACATTTCAAGGAGAAAAGGGCATATCGGATAATAGATCCGAGCATGGAAATAGAAGATGTGAATGAAGTACTAAGGGTGGTTCAAATTGCGCTGCTATGTACTCAAGAGTCACCTATTATGCGTCCAGATATGTCAACAATCATTAAACTACTTACACAAAAAAACATAGAAGTGCCTGTTCCTTCAAAGCCTCCTTTCATTGATGATTCCGAACAACATGGCTCTATTCATCAGCATCATCCCTCTGCATCATCAGTTGATTCTTGCAGATATTATGACACACACCAAGACAATGGCTCTTTTCATCGTTATCGTCATCATCCTTCTGCATCAATTGATTCTTATTACGACACGGAAAGTGTTTTAGGATGACAATGGTGCTCTCTTTATGGTCTATCTGCAAAGACAGAGCTAGCCTCTATTTCACACACAGCTCGGATCAGATAATTTTGGAGATTATTACGAAGCTATCCGCGTGTAAAATGAATGTATCCATTTTCCCAGCTACGCCCTATAGTTGCAGTGCTTTGATCAAGACCGGTTAAATCCCGGAATACTGCAAAGGCTGCTGGAAAGACCAGATAAGTTTATACTCCATTAAGTTATGTATATTGATTGTGTAAAGTTTTTTATATCTTTATAATATAATTTTTTTACGTATAGTATAAGTGACCTTAGTGTTATTTAACCTATAATGATAAGAAATTTCAGGTAGATTGATTTTATAGTTCAGTACAAATGTTATTTTAGTTGTATGAATTTTGTAGAGATCATTCAAACCATAAGGGGAGTAATTTTCAGCAAACTCAATTGATAGAAAATCCGTCAAACAACAAAACAAAATTGAGTTTATTTTGTTTGGTACTTTAATTAATAGACGTTGAATATTTTCTTAGAAAATCCGTGTACGTATTGTTAAGGTGATACTGAGGAGGGCAGGACCCTTCTCTATTTGTTTTTCTTTACACTGTGTTTGGATCATTGTTGCTCATTGTTTCATAATTTATTATATTGTATTGTATTCTATTATACTGTATTGTATGATAGATACAATATTTGGTTAGATTGTATTGTTTGTTATTGTTTAGTAACATTTTAATTGTTTGGTTTGATTGTATTGTAATTTATAAATTTACTAAAATATCCTTAATTATTTTGGAGTTAGGCGGTTTGACCAGATTTAAATAATTAAGGTAAAGGGTAAAATATTATTTTGAAATATTATGTAAAGATATAATTGAAAAAAGAAATTAAGTAAAAATGGAATATACCAAATTAGTTGTTTCATAAAATAGGGATTTCTATTGTTACCTAACAACGAAATTTAACAATACATTTTAAGTAACAATCAAAACAAACATTGTAGGTATAGTAACGATACAATACAATACAATGAATAACAATGATCCAGTCATAGTGTTACTGTTCAGAGCAAAAATGATTATTTATTTATTTTGATGTATAAAAAAAATGCCGCATTAAATTTGAAACTTCGAAGTGAATTTTGAATCCACTATAGAAGTATTTGGTCCATATGAGGATCCCAAGTGCCTGTTTGACCAAATACTTCTGTATATAAGTCTAAGTAGATATTTTTTGAATTGTTAATAGTTCAAGGATGAAACTAATAATTTGTGCCGAATTCAATATATTTTCCATACTTGTCTCTAAGCTAATCATAGCCAAACCCTCTCTAAGAATTACTATATCCATACTCCAAAGTAAAGATAGTTATTCTTTACAAGTTTTTCCTACACATTATGTTTCTAAGTGTATGAATTTTTTGTCCCTTTTGCACTCTCCATTATCGTAAACCAATTCAAAATGTGATTTCAAAGGCACTACCATTACCAAATGTATCAAGTTAGTTGCTCTCATTTCCACATCAAGAAATTGTAGGGAAAAAAATATGGACATTCTTTTTTCCAGTTTTTGCCATTAAGTGACGTCCAAGAAATTATGTCCATATGATTCATATCATATAAAGGTATCTTCCTTTTTATGGGTTATGGCCATATCTTAGGTCCAGTAGTTCCCTAAAATGTGCGTAATTCCTTCTTAATATTAATAATATATAGGATGTTTGAAATACGGAGTAACCATTTTCCCCTTTCGTAAGAGAATGTTAATTTGCACTTTTGAAATTCTTCACTCTCAAAAAATAATACATGTATAAAGTAAAATTATTTTCAATAAATCTTCGGAAAAAGACATAATTGAAATACATAAGACAATAGATAATAACAAATAGTAGAAGAAAAGTACTACAATCAAGTAATATTATAATCGAATTACATAAAACAACAGATATATATATCAATAAAATTGAAGAACCTGAAACTATAAGCATAGCTTGAACACCCTCTTACTAGCATGAACAATATACACTCATTTACTAGCATGAACACCCTCTTACCTACGAACTTTTCCACCCTAATTCATTTCCTTCGTATCTTTGTATCTAAGGTCATGACCTCTGTACACTATAACTACGTCATGTCAAGTCTGATTATCTCTCCTCAATATTTCTTCTATTTACCTCTACTTCTCTCTTCATTGAACTCATCCCTAGTCAATCTCTCGTACCTACGCACTGACACATACATGTGTCTTCTCATCACAGATCCAAATTATCTCAATATCACTTTCTGCATCTTATCTTCCACTGAAGGCACTATCAAAACACAACATTTTAAAAGGACTTACATACCTACACTCATTGTTATCTCATTTTATGAGACGATTTACATGATTCAAAATCATGTCAGAGCACATAAATTTTTTTCTATTCTAAGACTATATTATCCTATTCAAATTTATGTGCTCGGACAAAAAAGAAAAGAATAATAATAGTCAAAATAGAGAGCCACACAAATTTAAATCAGTGACTAGAATAAGTTTTAGACTAAATAAAACAAGTTGATGGACCCAAAAGAAGATTACAAATTTAACTCCACCATGTAACCTTAAACCCATCTTCTGTCCATTTACGGAAGAAGTCACAACACACTTGCTACATGGGCGCATGCGGCATTGAATTTATTTGAACTCAATAATTTGAATCGAACAAATTTATATGTAAATATTCACAAATGATTTTAATTGATTTTGTTCATAGTCGAACATAATTTTAATTTTTAAATATAAATATACGAATATCACTTCAAAAACAAAAGTTTTTTTTTTTCAATTTTCATGATCAAGTTTAAATGGTGGTGCTTGGAAGCTCTGTTTTCTCATCAATCTACTCACGTTAACCTTCACTATAAATATAGTACTTGCTCAAGTTTTCCAAATTCAATTCACTCAATAGCCATAGCCATGGAAGAAGAACAATCACACTCCAAAATCGATCAATCTCCTAATAATTTCTCCATAGCCGTAGATTATGATCACAAAGCCACAGAATTCCGCCCATTTTCATTATCTTCACCTCACATGCGAGCTTTCCATCTCGCATGGCTCTCTCTATTTTCATGTTTCTTCTCTACTTTCGCAATCCCTCCACTTCTCGAAGTTATTCGTAAGGATCTCAATCTCACCCAAACTGATATCGGCACAGCCGGAATCGCCTCCTTCGTCGGTTCAATTTTCTCCCGCCTTGCGATGGGACCTGCCTGCGACGTCTTCGGTCCACGTGTTGCCTCCGCCACACTATCACTCCTCACTGCTCCGGTAGTCCTCTCCACTTCTCTAATCTCCTCTGCGAAAAGCTTCATATTAGTTCGTTTCCTCATCGGATTTAGCTTGGCTAATTTCGTAGCGAGTCAATTTTGGATGAGCTCTATGTTTTCCGGATGTACTGTTGGGCTTGCTAATGGATTCGCTGCCGGTTGGGCAAATGTAGGATCTGGCGTGACTCAATTAGTCATGCCGCTCGTATATACTCTGTTCACTACCTGCTTCAACATTCCTTCGTTCATTTCATGGCGTATTGCGTTCATTTTCCCAGCGATATTTCAAGCGGCGACAGCGATTTTGGTACTCGTATACGGCCAGGACTTACCTGATGGAAACTACAAACGTAAAATTACAAATAATCAAAGTGAAAACGTACTTTTTAATGGGCTGAAGAATTACAGGGGATGGATATTGGGATTGACGTATGGATTTTGTTTCGGAGTTGAATTGACTACCGATAATATAATAGCAGCGTACTTTTACAATCGGTTTCATGTGAATATTGAAATGGCAGGGGCGATTGCAGCGAGCTTTGGGCTAGCGAATTGTGTGTCGAGGCCTGTGGGCGGGATTGTTTCTGATAAAATGGGGAAGAGATTTGGGATGAGAGGGCGGTTATGGAGTTTGTGGGCGGTGCAGACGGTGGCTGGATTGATGTGCGTGCTGCTTGGCCGAGTAAATACAATTTTGGCGTCTGTTCTGGTTATGGCGTGCTTTTCGTTGTTTGTTCAAGCTGCTTCGGGACTCACGTTTGGCATTGTGCCATTCGTATCCAAAAGGTAAATTCATAAATCTAACTTTAATCTCATCTTTTTTTACGTTAAAGTGAAGTAATTGACGTGAGATAGAATATTTATACAGTATTTCAAAAGGAAATTCAGTTCGTATATTCTCAATTTTGTTATTTAGAGCTAATATGTTTCAATTATGTGATACGTATATATTTTTATTGTTATATAAACGGCTTATATATATCTCTACTACTACAAAAATGAGTTTATATATACTTTTCATTTGTAATAAAAGTGAAAAAATTAATTTTAAGTTATTATATTTTACTTTTTAATTTTCTTAAAAATTATTTAGGAATATATATGATTCTTTTAGCAAAGTTTAACGTATATTTCTTTTTCATAAGTAAATTATTATTGATTTCTTTTATTATAATTATTTGGGTTTGTTATTCTTATTTTTATTTTTTTCTTTTATTTCATGGTGTAAAAACTTTAAAACTATTTTTTTGTGGCTATATTATAATTTAAAATTATTCTTTGTCTATATTGTAATTTAATTTTATATTTTAAGAAAAAAATTTGATCATCTATAATAAATTTTACAAGAATATTAGTGAAACATAAATAAATTTGACCATCAAAATAATAAATCTAAATTAGTCATTAAAATAAAAAATAGTTAAACAATTATATATATTTGAGAAGGATTAACTATACTCATATAAGATTATATTTTTTTTAAAATGATATATGTGAGTCATTTGTATATAAATATGGGTTTATAAGAGTCATTTTCATAACGAGAAATGTATCATATCTAAGTAACAAAATTGAAGGATATATCAAACTCTTTTTCCTATTTTAAATAACGAATTTTTAAAAAGAAATTCTTTTAAACTCCATTTTCAATCAAAAGTCTCTCCCATAAATTGGTGGTAGTTAAACTTTGAACAGCTTAAGAATTATGGCAAGTCTCCTTCAAGTGTCAGTGACAGAAGGGGAATTGAAGTTGTCTTCCTCTTTGTACTGCAAAAACTAAAGTTTTCGACTAGGACATGAGTGTTAAATCTATCGAACTTCCGACTCTCATATAATTTTACTAAATAAATCAATTATAATTCATCAAAAAAATCAAAATATATATCATACGACGATGAATTAATAAATCACATGTTTTCAAATTCATTTTTAATAATTGATAACTTCATTACAAACATTCTGGTAAACAACCCAGGAATGGTGACAGGAGACTCGATAGCGGCATGTACGTACAGGAAAATATTAGCAAATTATGATTTTAAGAAGCATAGTCATAAAAATCATGATTCATAATAAGACACGTAGAGTGAAAAACCAGCTCAATTTCACATTAATTTATAGCCCTAAAATAATCCTACTCAGTTCTATCAGTAAAAATTTGTCATGTTGTTCTATTTGATCATGTATGCAGGCAGTGGCGTCGCCACGTAGTGGGTTCGTCCAAAAAAAATAGCATATATATAAGTAAAATGATTAAATAACATGTTTTGCACATCCTTAACATAACAAGTTGTTATTTCTAGATATCATTTGTTAAATCTCTGACTCCGTCACTGTACGCAGGTCGTTGGGTGTAATATCAGGCATGACAGGAAGTGGTGGGACTTTAGGCGCAGTTATAACACAGCTCCTGCTATTTTCAGGTTCCACAAAATTCTCAACTCAAACAAGCATATCAATTATGGGCTTAATGATGATTGTCTTTACTCTGCCTATTACACTTATCTACTTCCCCAAGTGGGGAGGAATGTTCTGTGGTCCTTCAAATATTCATCAATATGATGAAAACTACCACCTAATACATTAAGACTCATCTTGGATCCAAAAAATTTAATTGAGTACTAAAGTATATATAGCTAGGAGTTTAAAATAGCAATTTGTATGTATTATGTTATTTTGATATCGTTGTGAGTAGTTATTAGTTATTGATAATGTCGGTGTGTGGAGTGTTTATAATACAATTTAAGAGAGCGTCTAATTTCTGATGCATTATTAGATCTAAACAGAAAATTATTCCGAGCGTAACGCGGGACAAAATTAGAAGTCCATGGGTTTAGTCGAACTCAATAACTTTTGCTCAAATAATGTATATGTATTGAGAAGTTCACTAAATATGTATAAATAATAACTTTAAAACTCAGTCATTAACACTTAACATCATCATTATAAAATTTTAAAATTTTAATTTCATCTTTGCATAATCGCTAAATAATCCGACCACAAAATGATGATAAATTCAGCGATTATTTGGTATAACATACAACATTTTTCCTAGGCAAAGATCATCACCAAATGAAGGAATATTGAAGGCCCAAAAACACTGTGGACAGTTATGTTGGGCCATCGAGTCTATCGTTACTTCCTGGACCAAATTTGAGGGCTCATACAAATTGTTAAGTTGTTTTAAAATGGGAATTTTTTGCGTATATCCACTCAAAAATTACTTAATCATGCTCCATAGCAATGATTTGCTAATTACGATTCGTAGATACATATTAGGGGTAGGAGAGAGTCAAGGGAGAGAGGGTATATTGTGAAGAGAGGTGAACTCTATGTGTATATTTGTCAAATTGTATATGTATATCTGTCAAATAATTGTATATATGTAACTGGCATACATATGTATTTGTATATCTGGCAAGCGAAATTGAGAGAGGAAAGAGAGAGGCGGGTGAGAGAGAGGAGAAAGACAAATTGTATATATACATATGTATGATTTGTATTTGTATTTGTATATATTTAAGCAACGTACTTACAGTTAAAAGTGAGTTGCAAGTTGCAATTAATTCAAACTATAGTTACGTTAGCTAATTAACTAGTATATATTTGTTTTAACTTCATAATTGTCATTTTTAAAATTTCGTTGAATATGCATAGATTATTAATTTAAAACTCAATAATTTTAAAAAAAAAATTAGAATCGATAAACCTCAAAGTCTAGTTTCATTTATGATCAATGAATACTCCAAAGTCACTTCTAAGTATACGATAATTTTTTTCGTTAGATTGTTTGGAATTTGGGATAACATTCATCATTATGCATTTTACATAACATAATCTAACATTCTTACTAATTTTACGAGACAAAGTGTCTATATACTATATAGGAAGTTTTTGAGTTAGAATCTTGTCGTCACTTATCATAAATAACTTTGCGTGCTTAGTTCAAGATTATTTTTTTTTAGTGATTATGTATATGAATGTACCACAAACCTAAAATAAATAAAAGTGTTATTTCTAATAGGCTAAAATGAAATATATAAGTGTCTTATTTCTAATAGGCTAAAATGATCATTATTACCAAACTCCAAATATTAGTACCTTTTGGAGTCTAAATTAATGTCCAGAACTACTACCAAACTCAAAATATAAATAAAGAAAAGAACATAATTAAGATTACTCCAAAAAGTCTACAATGCCATTGGGCAGAGCCGAATAGAATCAAGGATGTTAAATTGAATTTGATCATTAGCGAAAAAATTATATTATTAAAATATAAAAGCAAAGCTAGAAATTTATTAAGAATGTCCAATTATTACATGAACATTTTTTTTTTATGAATGGATGCATTGAAAAATTTAAAATTGAATTAGGTAATATTTTAATATTTTCTTTTAAGAATAAAATGTTCCAAAATTTTAAAAATCAAACTTCATAATATCTAAATTTTTTTTTGTTTAATTTAATATGAAGATAATTAACAAGGCATTAAAAAAATGGGAGGGGTTGGGGCGATTTAGGTTAGAATGAAATTATTTTTACTTTTCAAGCTTTCACTAATCTCTGCTAACGACAAATGAATAATGAAAGCAGAATCAAACGCGTTGTTCTTTGGTTCGCTTTAGCAGCTTTATATAAATAGATTAAAATTTGCTTATTAACATAAAATTAAATAATTACGTTTATGTTTTATTTCAAATTCTAATGAAAAATAAATAAATATTCAAAATTCATTGAAAATTCAATTGAGTACTAAATGTAGATTCCTAATTAAGAATCGTTTTGATGAATTATATTTGTACTAGTTCAAAAATCACATATGTAATAACTATTACTTAGAAATAATTTATTTAGCTTAGACAATTAAAGCAGCAAGTTAATAAGAGTAATTCTAAAATAGAAGAGTTATATTAAAAATGATTATAAAATTCAATCACGAGGAGCCTACAGTGTGAGCGTAAGAGGAAAGCCTCACACCATTAGGCAACAATATCTTATTATATTTAGAGCGTTCAAAGTATTAATTTAACCATCTCAAATAATGTTTTACTTATGCATATCATATAATTTTATGAGAAAAGAAACACCTTCGAAATACTGTATCTCTATCACAATTAAAATATTATTAAAATTATTTATATGTATATATAATCGATATAGAACCTATTATAACTTGTTAAAATATTTAACTTTTCCTATTTAAAACTCCTTTAATGAAAAATCTAATTCGCTACCGTGTGCCATCATATTAGAATTATTTGTTTGAGCTAGGTACCACCTTTTATGTATAAACACAAAAACAGAAGAACGTGAGCTTATAATTACATAGGTGGTCGGCTAATATCAAAAGCCTATCTCTTTATAATATTATATATAGAATTTTTTAACCTAACTTTCAATTGAAAATTCCTTAACGAAGAGCTAGAATTAGTAGGTTATTTAAGCCCACCTTTTTTTTAAAAAAAAAATTGTTCTAAAAACTTGAAGAAGTAGTACTTATAGTTATATAAAGATAAAGATGCTACTTGAAAGTAAACACTATCATATATAGAATCTATGGTATATCTTAATTCCTAAAGCTAGAAAATATATCAATATATTAAGCAAGAATTAAATTAAAATGCAATGTACATAAATTAATATTATAATATAAGTAAATAGAAAATGTAGTTGGGGGTCAGAGGCGTATTATACTACATAAATAATAGTAAAACATTAAACAACCAATAATCCACTTCCTAATCATTAGCAGCACATTTCATTTGACGTTTTGTGATTACTCATACTACTAATTTTCTTTTTCTAAGCTAGTGATTGCCTTAAAATTTAATTAATAACAAAAATACATAAAGATTGTGCGATAATTGATAATTGAGCATGGTAACAAATTCAAAATTTAAAATCAAATACTTCAATTCATTATATACAGCAAAGTGAGGCTACAGTATGTGACAATATATTCTTATATAATCAATGTGATGCGACATCATTCTATGTATATCGACGTTTGTGTTTGATGAGCACAAACCAATATTTGCATATATCTAACGTTTATTCGTATTTAAATTTTTAGCTTTACCCATAATATGTGATATGTGAAAAATCTTAGCAATGGGCAAGCGTGTTAGATACTTTTGTTTTTCTTCGATAATTCAGTTATATATGTATAGAGAGAGAACTTTATCAAAATAAATCATCAAGGGATGGAATGGATAGGGCTAACCTTAATCATAAAATAAGTTGGGATGAATAATTAATTTCCATTTAATATTATAAAGTATGGATTCATGCATCTCAAAAATTTGAAATGAAAATGGTTAGATATATTACTAATTTAATTACGATGGATGATGAGAGATTTCCACAATCAGAATGGATTCCCACCTCCCAAAAAGAAGAAGCCTTAATTAGTACTTCATAATTGCCACTCATTATTTAATCTCATCACCAATAATTGTAGTGCTACTACTTTCCATTTTGTATGTCGACTTTGAAGGAGGGAAAATTAGAAAGAAAAAGAAAGGCAAGGAGAGGTATTTGATAATTGGAATGACCTACGTTGATGATGAATGAATGAAATTTTGGACTTTTCAAATAAATTTTGGGTAAAAAAGTAAATTAATTAGCTTTTGAAGTGCGTATCAGATTTAGGTCTAATGTAGAACCTTATTTAAATTCGGGCATGAGAAGGGTGATGAATGGAATGTGCACAATTCTTCTAATTTGTGTTAGCGTTTGATTTGTGAGTTACGGTCCAAGACCTAGTTAAGCGACTTAATAGAGTGAGTATATATATATATATATATAAATTAATAATCGACTGAAATGTCAAAAACAGACCTAAATTATGGCATATCTAAGTAAAAGGAATTTTTTAAAAAAACAATTTATGATAAGGGAGACCCGCAATCGCTACCCTTTGGGTGTACACAAGTAGAACCTTCGTTCCTATACAATAGCTCGTAAACCACATAGGAGAGGTAACCCGGTTTGCTCGATCCAGAAGACAAATCCCTTGCTTTTGCTGGTAAGCTGTTTCGAACTTCAGACCTCCAACATAGAAATCCTAAGCTCAAACGACTGTGTTTAGCCATACTTAGCTCATGAAAATGAAAGACGTGAGGAAACATGTTAAAAATATAACCATATATATATATATATATTCTCAATAACAAGTTAAATACGTTGCTAGAAAATTTCTAAGTTTTTTTTTGAGACAACTACTGATAACATCCTATTTGTCTAGTATGACTGAAAAGGACAGATAATTGAACTATTCATGTAATATTATCCGTCCTCTCATGAAAGATTTTGGATCAGTGAATTGACATTATTGTTCACATGGACGCAAAAAAGATTGTAAGACTTCAATAATAGAGGCTATCATGTTTTTTTTTTTTTGGTGAGCTCAATAATAGAACCTAATTTTATTTTATTTTTATCAACTATAGATTTGAGGAATATCCATGTATATATTTGGTAGGTAGGGGGGAGTTTTCTATATGTACCTTTGACAAGAATTTTAATTATTTGGATGATCGACACCTTTTTTTCCCCCTTTAATTAATGAAAACGTAAACCAATTACCCACTATCAATAAAGTGTTAATGCAACATCAAGCATGACATTAGAAAATTAGAAAAATATTTATTTTTTATACGTAAAAACATATATACGGAGAGTTCTCTTTCTTTTAAGAATATTTAGGTCAAAAATCAAATATTATCGATCAAAAAATCATACTTATGGGCTATTGGTAAACAATGGAACTATTAACAAATCATATACTTAAAAAAAGCACATGAACTTCGATATAGTTAAAAATATGTCGTTCTTTTTAAAAAATATATATATAAAATGTCAAAAGAGGTAGTGGGGTAAAAAAACAGTAGAACAGTAAAAGAATATATTTATGTTCTCTTAAAATACTATTCCTAATTAACAAAGAAAATGAAAGTTGAATTTTGTGAAGCAAAACAAATAGAAGGAAACAAAGAGCATAAAAACAAAAAGGACAATATTCACAAATTGTATGACATAATTGACTCTGCAACCCTGCCTGCTTCGGTTTCTAATTTCCTTTTGAATTTGATTATTTATTTTTACATTACGTATTTTGAAATTATTTACTATATGATAATTGAGGTATATTTTTGTGTCACCCACCGATCATTTCGTTTTGGTTTTTTATTTTTAAATAAGTTAAATCGATAATTAAATTAATGAGATATTTTAAATTTGGTTTTGGTTTAACCTATAAGAAAATGTTTATAAAATAAATATATGACTTTTTTAATAAATTTGATGCGAAAACACAATAATGTAACTTTATAAATGTTCATAAAATAGAAATAACAATAATAAACATGAAAAAAACTATACAAGCGTAACACAAGAGAAATTAAGAGGAATATGGTTCTTGTTTTAGGTTTTAACATTTTTTATAATGTGAAATTGTAAACTCAAAATCAGTGTAAAATGTGAATTGAAGGCTAAAAAGGACAAAGATAGTAGCTAGTGTTGAGATTAATATATAATATTTAT